GCTCCCACCCTCTGGAATGAACTACCCCCAGAGATCAGGGTGATCCCTGATCTCCCTTCCTTCCGCCGCGCCCTTAAGACATGGTTATTCCAGCTTGCGGGACTGGCCTAGGGGAAAACTTTTAGAGGGGGTTTTAATTATAATTTTAATTAGACCAATTATTAATATTTGCCTTTTAATTAACTTTTAAATTTGTAATATTTTGTATTTTTATCCGGTTGTTAGCCGCCCTGAGTCCGCAAGGAGAAGGGCGGGATATAAATTTAAAAAATAAATAAATAAATAAATAAAACTTTTAGTATTACCTCAACGCCCCTTTCCTTTTCTGTTGACGGATAACTTAGCCACATATGTACATAAATATCTATTTTTTTCATGAGGGAGGTTATCAGAGGGAGGTTAGTCTGGGTGGAAATTCAACTGACGCTTCAGCTGAGTATGGCTACAACATATTCAATTGAGTAAAGAACTGGTAAAGTTGGGTGGATTCTAAATCCTCTATCTTTCATGAACTTTCTCTTTGGCAGTCCCCCAGAGGGATCTCTTAAACATCTGTGACCAACCTCAAAGATTCAGTCCCTTTAGGAAGCAGAGAAGATACAGATGCTGAGAAGCTTGGAATCTTTGTACTATTCTATTTGTTTCCCAGCATTTTACATTTGTTACTCCTCAAGCATTTCTCCTGGAAAAACAAATTTCTAGCAGAAATTTCAGAACTTTGTTTGCTGGGGGGGGGAGTGCAATCTTCCCAATTTAGAAACTCTTCATCCAGAGCTGTCATTCATCACTAAGATGAATTTGATGTTTCACAGAAAGCAACAGGTGTCTCTACTTTCCTCCGAGAAGAAATGGCATTGGTTGGTTTTAAGGTTTTAAGATCTCAGGTATTCAGACTTTCCAGTTCCTCTTTGTTTTATTTTAGCCAACAAATGGGCAGTGACATCTAGGTGAATCAAGAATGCATCAGTCTGATTGGGGGTTCTCAGTCTCAGTCTCAAAATGGAATCCATTTTGTAAAGATCATTTGCTATCGATACCCAAGGCAGCTACCCAGTTGTATATATTTTTTTTCTTTTTTAAATAATTACAAGTAGAACACTCTCATGTCTGCTAAGGTAAATTTGTGCAGCCTGTTAATTAGGCTTTCAGCAGGACTTCTGTTCCAGCGGGACTACGCAGGTATATCTCACTGTTAATTTTTTCTTCCACTAAAAGAAACTGGAACATTAGACTCTCTGCAAATGTTTCTCTACCACAGTGAAAAAGCATCATCTCTCCCTCTTTTTCTCTCTCTCTCTCTCTCTCAAATCTCCCTCCACAGCATGGAAAGGGTGATCTTCATGTTGTAGTTTTTTTTTTCATTTACGGCTCGTTGATTCCTTTAATAATTATTATATTTATCAGAAACCACATTCTTGCTTGGAAGATACTGCATGTTCTTCCAGCCACTTTGCCTTACCAGGAAGAGCAAATACTGTCTGAACATGATGTGAGGCAGTGGTGCTGGGGTTAGTTTGGGAAGGAGAAGACCACCCAGCCAGCTCTGGGTCTCACCACCTCTTTGCCCCACTGGTTGTTAGGAAAAGAGGAGATCCATCATTTGCAGGAACCGATAGTTAAAATGAACTCCTAATAATTAATCTTCTACTTCTCTTCTCCCTCCAGGGTGTCAGTTCAAGACATCTTATGGAATGAAAGACATGGAACGGCATTTAAGAACACACACAGGTACATTCTGGGAGTTTTGGAATACAATTAGTTCTTGACTTACAACCACAGTTGAGCTGGAAATTTCCATTGCTAAGCAAAATAGTTAAGTGAAATTTGCCCCATTTTGCAACCTTTCACGCTGCAGTTGTTAAATTAGTAACATGACTGTTAAGTGAATCTGGCTTCCCCATTGACTTTGCTTGTTAGAGAGTCACAAAAAGTGATCACAGGACCCCGGGACACTGCGTGCCAGTCGCCAAGCATCCAAATTTTGATCACTTGACCACAAGGATGCTTCAATAGCCATAAGTGTGAAAAAGAATCATCTGTCACTTTTTTTCGATGCCATTCTCACTTCAAATGGTCACTAAATGAATGGTGTAAATCGAGGGTTATTTGTAAGCAGTTTTATTTTTAAATCAATGGGTACAGATTTCTTAGAATGTGTGTCCTTTCCCAGAAAAACGTTTATAATCTGGGGTTGAGGGGGTGAACAGTGAAAAGGGAGTATTGTTTTCTGAACTGCTGCACATTTTTATAGTCATTTTGGTGTCATGAATACTAGTAGACATTAGGAAAAATAATAATAAATTTCTCTTAGACCAAATGATATTGTTGTGACCATTCGAAGGTGGGGCTTACCTGAATTTGCACCTATCCCTGATTTTCTAGGAAAAAGTAAACAGCGTGATTCAAAAAAAAACTCCTCTTGAACGATAATTTCCATTTCATCATGAAAAATATTAATTCCTTCCCCTCGGGCACCGGGTGCTTTACATTTCTTCATTTTTTTTCAGGTGACAAGCCTCATAAATGTGAAGTTTGCGGCAAGAATTTCAGTCGCAAAGACAAGCTGAAAATGCACATGCGCTCCCACAGCGGAGTGAAACCTTACAAGTGTAAGCACTGTGACTACGCAGCGGCCGAGAGCAGCAGCCTAAACAAGCACCAGCGCATCCATTCCGACGAGCGGCCTTTCAAGTGCCAGATCTGTCCTTACGCCAGCCGAAATTCCAGCCAGCTCACTGTTCATCTCAGATCTCATACCGGTAAGGCTGGGGGGGTTTGTGCTCAGTTTAACCCTGAAAACCCTAGGATGGTGTTCGGAAAGAAAAAAGTATTTGCACATTTAAAATTGCAACGCGATTCAACAGATTTTTTATTATTATTATTGTTTATCAAATTTGTATACTGCCCATCATCCTTGCATGGCTTTGGGCAATTCACAAATAAAATAATAAAATTGTATATAGGCAATAAAACCAGTCCTCAACTTACGACCACAGTTGAGCCCAAAATTTATGTTTCTAAGTGAGAGATTTGTTAGGTGAGTTTTGCCCCATTTTACAACCTTTCTTGACACTTTTGTTAAATGAATCACCACAGTTAAGTTAGTAACACGGTTGCTAAGTGAATCTGGCTTCTCCCATTGACTTGGCTTGTCAGAAGGTCATAAAAGATGATCACAGGACACCTCCACCGTCATAAATAGGTTGCCAAGCGTCTGAATTTTAATCACACGGGGATGCTGCAATGTTTGTAAGTGTGAAAGACGGTCATCTCTTTTTTCAGTGCCGTTGCTAACTTCGCACGGTCACTAAATGAACTGTTGTAAGTCGAGGACTATCTGTAGTTAAAAACAAAATTAAATCAGAGTTAAAAAGAACTTAAAGAATTTTTAAAAACAGATGGATCTCCTTCTGAATGGTGTTTCAACTTTCTTCAGCTGCACATGAGCTCGTGAAAGGTGGCTGGTTTGCAATTGCCCATAGCTCACCCCCCCCCTGTTCAGGTGTTCACTGAGGATGGCTTGTTTACATACAGGTAGTCCTTGACTTAGGACCACAGTTGAACCCCAAATTTCCAATGCTAAGCAAGACAGTTATTCCGTGAGTTTTGCCCCATTTTATGACCTTTCTTGCCACAGTTCAGTGAATCACTGCAGCTATTAAGTGAATCATTCGGTCATTAAGCAAATCTGGCTTCCCTTATTGACTTCGCTTGTTGGAAGCCTCCTGAGAAGATTATAAATGGTGCTCACGTGACCGTGGGACGGTGCAACTGGCATAAATACATGCCAGATGCCAAGTGTCCAAAGTTTGACCACGTGACCAGGGAGCTGCTGCCGCAGTCATTACTGTGAAAACCAGTCTTAGGTTGCTTTTTTCAGTGCCGTTGTAACTTTGGACGGTCACTAAACGAAAGGTTGAAAGTCAAGGGCTATCTGCATCATGCTCTGCCATGGTGTGGGTCTTTTCATTTGGTTTTGCTTTAGCAAGTTGTGCCAAAGCCCCTGTGGGTATCAGTAGGCTCTTTTTAAGCAAAACATGATATAGTGCAGTGCTTGAGTATGCTATTAATACTGTAGAAGCTTAAAGGGGAAAAAAATCTCATTTAAGATCCTGATTCTAGAAAACTTTCAATTGTGGGAGAGACTGCTCTACCCAATGTTGGTTCTACAGATGCTACCATTTCTCCTCTTTCCAATCAGGTCAGTGGTTTGAGCTGTATTTTGAGCTTTCCCACTTGCAAGCCACAAGCCAGATTTCTAGGCGTTATACCCAAGTTTTGCAGTTCTCTCCATCTTTAATATTATTGCTGCAGGCTTTTTTTGTCTACAGGGCTCTCCTGCAATACCTTGATTTTTGGCTGGTAAAATTCTGCTCTTTCTCACAACCAGGTTTCTTGTAGGATTCTCCAAAGCAAAGACATTTCCTTCTTCCCTTTTCGGCCTTTTATTCTACAGGCTTTAGGCTCAGCTAGCCATAGGTGAAGTTTTGTGTTTGTTTTGGGAGGTTAAAATTAAAGGTCCTCCTTGACTTTTTTTAAAGCTATTTTTACTAAAGCCAAGTTCATTGAGATGGATGGACTAAATCTTAAATGCCCTGACAGCAATTAAATATAGCTACTTTTTTTTCAATATAGTTTGGCATCCCAAAGTGGAGACTTTGTGCACTGCAGCAGCTGTTTTTCAGAAAAAAGGAGATCAGGATTCCTAAAATGCAGGCAGTAATAGGCAGGGCCAGCCAATACAAAGAACAGAACTGTCAGTCTGTGCAACTTCATTAATATAATGTGTATAATAAACATTTTATAGCAAAGGCCTTAATCTTTAAATACATGCATGGATTACCACAGCACGCCATGTCATGATTTCAAAAATCTTTAGTTGGAATCAATGAAACATATAGCCAACTAAACCAATTACCGGTATGCATCTTTTTACAATCTTCCATTTATGAAGATCTATAAAATATTAACTTGTAAAGTAAATTAAGCCTCATGTGTCATAGTTATTAAAGAATAGCAAATACACTGTATTAGGGAGCTGGCTATATTTTATTTCTGTTTTAAGTGGCATCCTGTGTCTGTACAAGAGGGGGGGGGACAATACACAAGCTGTTCAAATGGCAGAAAGCAGCAGTAAATCAATAGTATTTTTTGTTTGTTTAAGTATTAACAATAACCATAGTTTATTAACAAGATGGAGCTCATAACAGTTGTAGTTGTGCTGTAAGAATTATCAATACATTGTTGGACAAAGAGCTCACTTTCATCTTCACACTGGCATTTTTCCCTATAAATATCTCTTTGTAGCGTACTTTACTTTTTTTTTTAAATCAACACTTGAATGCAATTTTTACCAGTAATATAGCAGCTAAATAAACAAAAACCTACATACCAGATCAATGAAGGTTGGGTCTTTGGAAAAGCAGCTTTACCCAAAACGTATTTCTGAATGCAATTTCTTTTGCTGTAAACAAAATATGCTTTATAGTACTAGCTTCCCAAGCTAGTACTGAGAAACTTTTAACGTTTCTAGCTAGCCTGTTCACTGCCACCTGGGAATTCTGGGAATTGCAATCTCATCAAAGGTACTTTGGAATATGTGATGACACAACGGTAATACCACAAACTCCAGCTTTTGTGTGTGGTTTGAGGAGTGGCAAATGGGCTACATAGTGTATGTACCCGCAAACCCTCTAAAGCAATATTTCTCAACCTCAGCAACTTTAAGATGTGTGGACTTCAACTCCCAGAATGCTGGCTGGCTAAGGAATTCTGAGTATTGAAGTCCACACATCTTAAAGTAGCTGAGGTTGAGAAACACTGCCCCAAAAGTACCACCTTGGAATCCAGAGTGCTCTATAGCCCTAGTAAATACATGGTTTTCAATTACTTCGTTAGTAAGTATCATGAGTTTCATTTGGCTAGAATAAATCTGAATCCCTGTCACGCAAATATTGCTATTGCAAACATTTGTCTCTCAAACAGGAGATGCTCCTTTCCAGTGCCGTCTGTGCCCTGCCAAATTTAAAATCAACTCTGACTTGAAGAGGCACATGCGTGTGCACACAGGGGAGAAGCCTTACAAATGTGAGTTCTGCGAAGTCCGGTGTGCCATGAAAGGTAACCTGAAGTCCCACATCCGCATCAAGCACAACATGGAGAATGCCTTCAAATGTCTCGTCTGCAAGTTCCAATGCGGGAATAAGACAAGTCTCCGGCAGCATCTGCGCACCCACCAGCCCGAGCAGGCTGTGAAATGCTCAGAGTGCTGCTATTCCTGCTCAAACAAGGCGACCCTCAAAGTACATGAGAGGATCCACTCCAAGGATCGCCCTTTCAAGTGTGAGTTCTGCCGCTTTGATACCAAGCAACGGAGCAATTTGACCACCCATGTGAGGAAAGCCCATCCCGATAAGGTCAGAATCAGAGAAAATATATCATGTCAAGGGGAAGGAGATCGGCCAAAGGAAGGCAACTCCAGACAAGTTGCCAAGCTGGAGGCCAAGAAAGCCTTCAGGTGTGATTTCTGTGAGGCCTCCTTTGTCCGGGAGGACTCTCTGAGGAGCCATAAAAGGCAGCATGTCGAATATAATGGAAATAAAACTTCTGAGCTGGCTGTCCTGCAGTTCCAGATGGACCCTATCCCACAAGAAGATACTCCCATTACTGTTAGTCATCTGCAAATGCCATTGCACACTTCCCCCTATGGGGAAGGGCAGGTCAAGATCATTGTTGGGCATCAACTGCCCCAGGGCAGCAGCTTGGAACAAGGAGGTCAAGTCAGTATTGTGTCTCCTACTTTAATAACTCAGAATCAGGATGATCTGTCTAGCAGTAATCAGCTGCAAATACTGCAACAGGTGAGCTTATTGGCTCCACCCCTTCCTGTTGGGTCTCCGGCAGAAGGCCTTTCGGTCGGTCAACCCACAGTCCTTCTCACAACTCACAACCAGGCTGATGGAAGCACACCAAACCAGACCCTGATCTCTGCCATTCCAGTAGGCAGCCATGAGGTCTCAACTAACCAGGCCTTCATCAATGGCACAGGGATCAGCTGCTCAGATTTGGAAGGGCTCAATGCCTTAATTCAAGAAGGGGCAGAGGAAGTGACAGTGGTCAGTGCTGATGAGCAGAACATCTCAGTGCGAGCATCAGCGTCCCCTTCACCAATCTTTTCATCCTCTTCTCATTCAGGTGTGCCAAAGCAAACCTACTCCATCATCCAAAGTGGAGCCCATGCGAATTTGTTGTGTCCCGCAGACTCCATACCAGATTAGACTGGAGGCTGAAAAAGTCATTTGTTTGCTCCATTTAGTCCTAGAGTCCAGAGCCTGGTGCCCCTTCTCAAAATGAGCATAGTTTGCATTCATAAGAAATGTGGCGTTACTGCTGTCTTTAAGGAGAGATTGTGGTATGAATAGATGCTCTTAAGTGGGGATAGGTCCTGTTGCACAAGACTCCTTTTTATCACTTTCAGGTCTAAATTTCTTGTTTGGTCTAATAACATATCTATCATGCTTAAATAATATATCTTTAGCATAACTTATCCAACTTTGTTCTAGGCTTAAAGAGATGCCCAGTGAGTTATCTGCGTGGGAAATTCTCTTCAAAGCTTGTAGCCTTAATGGGAACCATTGAAAATTGTTCACTGGCTCTTGGGTTTTCCTCCCCTCCCCTCCCCTCTCCTTTTTTTTTTCTTTCATATCTCAGACTTTAAAATTGTGTTGAATGTATAAATGATACATTTTTAATACGTATAAGAAGTATTGCTGGATTGTTCTGCACTGTGATCAATGACTTTAGAAGGGCTAAAGAACAATACCTGGATATGATGTTGCAATATAATTCCCCAAAGTGGCTTTGTTCTTCTGTCTTCAAAAGCAGTTTGACATGTAACAGTCAAGACTGTCATGGAGGAAAGTGGGGAGAAAAATATCAGGTGTTGTTGTTGATAGTATTAAGTAGGCAAATTAAATTAAGTAGCTCAGGGCAGAAGCAGTTAACTACTTTTTGAATATCTGAGTTCAGTATCAAGACTAGGAAGCTTTTGAACCTCACAATACATGGGGCAGATGGTCTACCATGTATCTGAACCATCTGCAGCAGACCAGTTTTGTGGTGCCTCAGATGAGTGTAGGCAAGCTCCACATGTATCAGGGATCTTCTTCTTTTTTCAGATGTGACACCTACAGGATACATTTGAGTATCACCCTAAACCAGCTCTATGACTTAGCATGGAATACACTTATTATCTTCCTCTTACACCAGTTGGTTTATGGGAAATAGATGTCACTTTTTACTTCAGAGGAGAAGCAAGAGCACAGTGTTGATGTGACTTTTGTCAAGAGAAGGAGGGAATGTGGCAAGCATCCTGAACTGAAAAATACACCATATCCAACTCTAACACACAAAAAGTAGGACACTTTCACTATTTAATGGAAGTAAAAACTATTTTGAAATCCTGGTTTTGTTTGAAGGTTGCCTTCATTTCTGCAGCATACAATAAAGTAGCTTAAATAGTTAACCATAACGATTAGATGGGACTGTACACCATGTGATCCATTGAGCCCAACACAATCATTTATATAGTAGAGCATACTGGGAACATACCCAAAGATGCAGGCAGATGTAGGGTTTGTTTAACAGTTCTCACTGTGCTGGGCAATATTCAGCCATTAGAACATCTTGATAAAGTACTATTCCAGATTATGTGTAACTAATGGGAAAAATGCACTCCATTTCTGGCCCATTGTTGTGGTATGTATGTACATAGGAGCTGGTAATGAATTTTTTTTTGTCATCTGTAGATGGTGCTAGAACTCAAGCTGAGGTTTGAGAGGAAGGACATGTTTAAAAAACATGTACTGTATGTCCAATGAGTATTTCCTGTAACAAACTGAGCTGAACTGTTTTGTTTCAGTATATCTACATGAATGTTAGCTTAGAAAAGAAAACACTTCCTGAAGTACATCCCACCAAAAGGATACCAAGATTTCTTCAGTTAATCAATAACATAAAAGTAATTAAAATTTAAGTTTCTGTTAGTTTGGAAATGGAGCAGGTTGAAGATCTGACGTTGCATGTGCACAAGCAAATGTTTGTATGTGTATACTTAGGTATACAAATCTATATAGGTATATTTGTATGAAACATATGACTGATTTTTCAGTGAAAAGTTGAGAATGTAGTCTTTTATCAGGCAAAAGTTTTGATCCACCTAAGGCAAGAGATGAATAGTCAGAGACTCCAGTGCTACAAATGTTATTGGAAAGTTTTAGATGAGGTCCCAAGAGACTAATACATTTTATTATCAAATTACCATTTGATAATGGGAGAAGTGAGGAAATAGTCTATATGTGATAGAAGAGTAAAACTGTTAATACGTTATTTAAATGTAAGTTAAATGAATTAACGGGGTGTTTTTTTTTCTATCTTTGCTCACTAGTTTTGTTCATGCATTCAAACATTCAAAGGTCAAGCACCATTCTTGGCCCAGAAGGAAGTTTCCAGGGGTAGCATTTTGAGCTTTATCTATAGATCATGGATTCTTCGGTTTACAAAGTAGATACTGCCACTAAATTATCACCACTATCAGTTTATAATGTCCATCAGCTCCTTCACTGCTCCTAAGTTACATGTTTAAAACTTAGAAAACTATATTTTCTTTAAAAAAAAAAAGGAAGAATTAAGATGAAGTAGAAGACCTGAAAAACAGAATGTTGGGTTGCAGTGTTATATATTATACTGACCACAGAAGAGAATAGGTGAGTCTAGTAGAAGAAGATTGGTTGCAACCATGCTTCCTAAATGGAATTGCAGAACTGTAGACCAGGGGTAGTCAACCTTGGCTCTTTTATGACTCGTGGACTTCAACTCCCAGAATTCCTGAGCCAGCTGTGCTGGCTCAGGAATTCTGGGAGTTGAAGTCCACGAGTCATAAAAGAGCCAAGGTTGACTACCCCTGCTGTAGAAGGTTGAGAAAATGGGGGAGGAAGAACGAAGTGTTCTGCTCTCTAAGGAACAGAGATTTAGAAAGGATATCTTCCCTGGAGTAAGAGCACTTTGATTCTGGCCTGAGTGAGAACCAGTTGTGGAATTGGAAACAGAAGTATAGTCTTTGGAGGTGAATGGAACTAGGTGAATTTGGATTGCCGAGAAGTTGAATGAGTTGCGTAGTAAGGATAGTTGATGAAGTGGAGAATGCACTGAGGATTTTGTCTGGACTGTCTAGAAGAAGGAAACTGAGTATACAAGACAAAAATCAATCAGAATAGAGTTGGAAGGGACCTTAGAGATCTTCTAGTACAACCTCCTGATCAAGCAGGAGACTATATATTATTTCAGATAGGTGGCTCTCCAGTCTTTTCTTAAAAACCTCCAATGATGAAGAACCTGCAGTTAACCACTGGTTAATTGTCCTCACTGTTAGGAAGTTCTAGGTTGCTTCTCTCCTTGATTAATGATAGTAGGAAGATAATCAAGAAGAGGTATGGAGGGTAAGGGAGCCGTACTAGAAGGGAAATTGGAAATGTGATGTAATGTCCCTAAATCTTAATTCTTGGGCATCTGATTTACTGGGTGCCAAGGCTTAGAAGGATGCTTTTGAATGCCAGGTCCACTCATAATAATGTAGCCTCATTGACAGTGTAATTGAGGATGAAAGGCCAGACCTCATATGTGTCACAGAGCTGGCTGGATGAAAGGGAGGAATTTCCCTTGCTGAAATCTGTTCAATGATGTTTTGTGTGCTGCATCAGTCCCCATCACATAGCAAGAGAAATGGAATTATAGTTGTGCACTGGGAGGGTATGGTTATTACAAGGACAGTACTACAAATAGCCAGATCTATGACCTTCTTTATGAGATTAGGCCAAAGGGTCAAGTTTAGAAATGTTACTTTGTACTATCCTTCCAGCTTCATTGCAGCATCGCTTCCTGAGCTCAATTTTATTACAGGTGGAAGTTTTGGCCCTTCTGAAACCGTTACTGGTCTGCCCATACCTCCAATCGTCCTCTGTGGAAAAGACTATTAAGAAAATGGCAGGGTAAAAATTACAGAAACCCCTGGAGGATATGAGTTAGACATGGAATAGAAGTCACAATGGTCATTCTTGTGGACAACTTGTGCTGGGATTTGAAAGTGCCATTACTATGAGGTTCTTTCCTGAGTTGACAGGTCAAATCAGGGGTCAGATCTTCAGTTGCTGCAGTATGAGCTACCTGAGGATTACAATTTTTGTTTTATCCTTTTTAATGTCTATATAAAGCTGCTGTAAGAAATAATCCATCAGTTTAGGGGTCAATTTATTTTCCAATGTACCAGAGAGCAGGACAAGAAACAACGGATGGAAACTTATCAAGGAAAGGAGCAACCTGGAATTAAGGAGAAACTTCCTAAAAGTGAGGACAATTAACCACTTGCCTTCAGAACAGCTTGCCTTCAGAAATAGTAAATGCCTCATCACTTGAGGTTTTTAACAAGACACTGTCCAGCCATTTGTCTGGAATGATATTGTCTGAAATAATATTGTCTGCCTGAGCAGAGGCTGGACTAGAAGACCTCCAAGGTCCCTTCTAGCTCTATTCTGATTGATTGATTGATTGATTGATTGATTGGTACGAGATCAATTGGCAGATTATTCTCAATCATGTATCTCCACTCTAAGCCCAGTGGGACATACAGATAATCCTGTGCCTGGAAATTGTAAGAACATGGAAAGGAGAAATTGAAACATTGATTCAGACTGAACCAAGCAGATAGGGGAATGTTGATTCAGAGGCTTAGTGATTCCAGGACTATTCAAACATTAACTCTTGCTTTTTGTGCTTCTCCAAAATAAACAGGCTTGCAATCTCTTAGGTCCTTCCAGACTCAAGAGCAGGCAGAAGCTCATAGATTGGAGAGCCTTGCCCACCTCTGGCTAATTATCTTGAACCTGCGAACCATCAAACTTGCCCTCATCCGTCTCTCAGTTAGATTACTGTAATTCAGTGTGCATGGAACTGCTCTTGAAGATCACCCAGAAACTCTAGCTGTTGGAAATGTATTGATCAACATGCTTAGTATGCAGTCATGCTATTGCCATAGTACGCCTTTGCTGCAGGAGCTTAGGGTGTTCCTGGATTAATTCAAGGTGTTGGTTGCTACTGTTAAAGCCCTGTATGACTTGGAGGTCTTAGTCCTGGTATCTAAGGAATTGCTTTTCCCAGAAAGAGCCTTCTCACTTAGTCCAAGTAGCCAGAGGATGCTTGCTAAAAGTCCCTGTTATGAAGTGTGGTAAGAGGGCTATGAAGTTATTCTCTGTCAGGGCTCTTCTCTGAGACAGCTTCCTCTTGGATGGTTTTC